TCCACCCATGGTGAAAATAGGCATTTTAACAATTTTGATGCCTTCATGTAGTTACTATAACAAATACAAAATGTGGATGCATATATGTAAATTTATATTAAAAAAAACCTTTAAATTGACGTTCTAAGATCACGAATAGCATATTTGATTGTGTCAAAATTGATACCTTGTCTGTCAGAAATGAGTCTGGTACAATAGCAGGTTTATTTGAAAATTTTCCATCTGTCAAATTTAAGTGAAAATTCACCAAATGGAAAGCTCTATTCAGTAAAATGCTGCTCAATTACAGAATTTTGGGTTGCTGAAAAAATCAGTAAAAAGTATTGCTGAAATCTTTACTGGTTTTCAGTAAAATGTTGTCATTTTGACAGAAGTTGGAAATGCTGGAAGATTTAGCCACATCAAATCCAAAATCAGAAAAAAAAGCTATTTAGATTTGGTGTGATTGAGGTGGGTTTTTGGAACTAATAGTAGTACCAACGCCACTATGGGCAAAAATGGGTCCAAAATTACCCAAAATTCAATATCTCAACAGCACGCTGAATTCCGGCCATGAAAAACAACTTTTCCGAAGGAAAATCGTCCAGGAAATCGATTGCACGTGGTCCCATAGACCGGAGAGCCTAGTAGGTATGTGTTTTGGACCATTTTACCCCATTTTCCCCTTCTTTTTGGAGGAAATGTTTTTTCACAGCTCTATTTTTCATAAAACATAAGCACTTCATGCATGGTGTTAGAATACTATGTCTTTAAACAACAGTTCATGAGATATAAGGGGAATACGGGGTACATTTTGTAGGGGAGTCTATGAAACCACGTGCAATCGATTCCTCGGACGATTTCCCTTCGGAAAAGCCGTTTTTCATGGCCGAAATTCAGCGTGCTGTTGAGATATTGAATTTTGGGTAATTTCGGACCCATTTTTGCCCAATCGATTAACGTACCCCATTCTAGTCGAAATTCTAGTAATACACTCTGTTTTGATTCGCTATGAAAGTTTGACAGATAAAATGAGGGGTTCGTGGATTTTCCTATGTTTCGAGGGGTGCATCGATTAGCTTGGGAACGAAGACTCTTTAATATCCTGAACAAATGAAGTGCCAATGAGGTTTTTAGAAGTAGAATGTATAGCTTTACCATAAATGTGCAACCGCTGAACAATTTGGGAGTACGGAATCTCAGTTTATATACTTTATTCGCACGATAAAACTCCCCAGAAGAATAAGTTTTGTATATTAATGATGGAAACATAACAAATCCCATTCGTTGGAAGGATGAAATTAATTAACAACATGTCCAATGCAGTAACTTGCGATATATAGTCATTAATAAGTTGTGCTAGTCAATCATTTATAACTTTGACATATGTTATGTATAGATCCCACTTCTTGCACTTATTTCTGTTATAAATGAGTTGTATATACCTAAGTAGCTTTACGTTAATGTGTACAGCTGAGGTGAGAACTGGATGAGAATTCTATTGGGAATTTTAATTAGAACTATTGAACGAGACTTCAGGTGAACTGGTGAAATAAGCATAAACATTCAAAGAGAATCGTAGGATGAATTCAATGATATTTTTGGAGTGTACTGCAGATAATTGCTGAACTGTTATAAAGAAATTAAAGGGATTTCTAGAGAGAATCTAAAATTTATTTTAGAGGAACTCTGAAAAGAACACTGTAAATGATAGATGAGGAGATGAAAGTATAAAGTTGATAGTTCCGTTAGCGTACGGCAGTGTGAAAATTGCGCCACCACTGGCGGGGGGGATGCCCTCACCATCCCTCTCCAACGGGAGAGTTTGGTATAGAGAGATGATCAAACCTATTTGTACCTTCCTAAAAAGTTGTCCTTGCTCGCTTTCTCTAAATACAATTTTAACACTGCCGTACTCTAACGGAACTATCAACTCTATACTTTCATCTCCTCATCAATCGTATAAAAATTACCACTTTAGTCTGTTATTTGAAATTAGCATCTTCAACTATGTAAATCGTTAACTTCACGCAGAAGTAATATGAACAAATAGTTAAAGTACTGTGAATGATTCTAAAGGAAATTATTTAGAACATTCCATTAAAATTTTGTAAAGATGTCTGATCGCATTCACAAAGTAGTTAAAACGTAGACAAATGTTGAAGATCGAACGCAGAAACAAAGTCAATGTACAGAATAAATGTTGCTGTCTTTGTTATTCTCATCTAACCCATTAATCCCTTCAACTAAATCGTATTTGGTCCTATACATAATTTAAATGTTCATCGCACAACCGGCAAAATTTCTAAAACTCCGGAAAACCGGGTAAATTGGGAAAAACCGAAAAAAAAACCGGGTAATTCTTAATTAGGATTTGTCACCATTGCTTTCTGGTGCCCATCAAGAGATCGATGTACAGTGTATCGCAAAATTGAGCTTACACGCTAGTGGAACATTTTTTGAAACATTCTGAATAGATATTTTGGTGGTGGTTAAACAGATGTTTATTGATTTATCGTTGTAGTTTTGGACTTTATTGGAATAACCTGTATGAAGTTAAATTTAGAGGACGAATTTTAGTAAAATTAGTGGAATATGAATTATCTTTATTATTACTAAAAATGATCAAAATTTCAAAAAGTTTAGTTCATTATATTTCAAGACATTAAGGTTTTTCAAGGAAAGCCCGTTTTTCTCTAATAGCTCTTATTTTTAACAAACGCAGCCAAATAAGCCCAACATTGTACCAATAATTGATACATTTACGATGATTCAGCAGCCATAAATTCAGAAACGTATCTTTTTAATTGTGCTTTTAAAGCTGTTTTTTTCTAAAATTCAAGGACATCTGTACGCTCAATTTTGAGATACACTGTAAGTAGAAGCTAAGCTGAATGACTGTACCGAGAGTTAAAATTACTCTAAAGAAATTGAGATACATTTCATTGCGGTGTAGATATGGAGATTTGTCCGTAGCCAATTTAATCAATTTCGTAGTCCTTTGTGACTGTTCCAGTAAGGAGATTTCAAGCCTTCCAGCGTTAGATGTCAGCAATGCATCTGCTGTAGATCTTGTTCGAATTTTATTTTTCATATAGCAGGTTTACTAACATCAAAATATTGTTCTATGATTTGAAATAGTTGTCCAAAATCAACAGAAAAAATCCCAAAATGCTAATCAAAATACTTTTATCAGTCAATTTAAAAAAATCAATAATATTGAAATCCTGATTTGTGGATTAATATCTGATGGAAAATATTTGTGTTCTGAATAAGACATATTGCTTTATCCGATTTAGTTAAAGAAATCAAAATTGTGATTTCGCGTTTGAGTTTAGTCCTCCCCCCTCATATGTCACAAATTGACACGTTTCTTTGAACCCCCTCCCTCTTAAATGCGTGACGTAATTTAAAGATGGCCTCTTTTCGCACGAATTAAAGTTCACGAGCCATAGTTGAAATTTTCCCTTCCCGATAGTATTCTTGGAATGCATAGGCGAACATTCGGCTTGCGCGAAAAGAACATTAAAAGTTTTGTTTACCAAAAACTAATAGGCCTTTCTCAAATGTTACGCGAGATTTCTTTAATTGTTTAAGCACTGAGATTTGTTGCATCCTTGCATGCATATTATTTTTTCAATTGAATTTCTAACGAATCATCTTACAACAATTTAGCAAAATAGAAATCACATAGGTTCAACAAAGAAAAATGTTCTCTTTTCAGTACGATACATTAAACGTTTTGAAAGAAAAAACGTTAATTGCATTTATATTTCTCATAGATAACAGGCTTCAACAAAACACCAAACCCCTACACTTCACAGCAATCAGTTTATTAAAATCACAACCACCAATAATCACACGAAGAAAAGCCACTGCTAGGAGTCCACTTCCAGATGATTTTTTCCGATCTCCTCCCACAACTCTGACTTCCAGCCACCACCGGAAAAGTCACCCGCTTTGACGGGGTTGAGTTCATATTGCAGGCGACCTAGTTCATAATAACACTAGTAGCAGTCTCAGCAGCAGCAGCAGCAGCAGCAGCAGCAGTAGTAGTAGTACTCAACTGACAAGCCACGCCCCCAAAGACGCTTGCGCTAACGAACTGGCGATGGGCCAGGCCATCGATTTTCCCGCTATGTACCGAGTGTATACATAACAGACCGCTTCAGAGCACGTGAGAGTAGAGTGAAGCTCTCTCACGGAAAACTCACCAACCAGCATGCAGGGACGGCGGCCGCTGCTGTAGATTGCAGGAGAGCAAGAGTCTGTTCGAATATGAACTCCGCACCAGAACTGGTTTGCATCAACTGCGGCAGTCTTCTCGACTCGTTGTCTGCCAAACCCAGCCCTCATTTGCCATTACCCCATATCTGAACTGGTTGGATCGATATATGCCTCTCGCTCACTCCGTCCTGCTTGCACTCAGGCGTACTATGCAGCCCATTACCATTGAGGATTGATAGCATGCATCTGCGTTACAACTTCAGTACATCTCAGGTGTCAGTTGCGGAAGGACGTGATTTTCGTTTTTGCTACTGCCCGTTTGCCGTCGCCGCCGCGAGTTAGTTAATTGTGACAACACGACAGCGTTCGTTCTACTTTTGAGCCAACCCCACCCCCTGTGCTAGAGTGTACGGTTACCACCGCGCATCTACCCCCTCGGTTCCCCACCCCTTATTTGAGGGAGCTCCCACGACGTCGTTGGACTACTGGGGAGCCATATCGTGTCATCGTGAGTGTGAGTGTGCTTAGTGTGAAGCTCTCCGTGTTTAGTGAACATTTTAAATGACTACCTTGGGCAACTGTCCACCGAACTGCAGTTCAGTGAGTAACATTAGATTTAGTTGCAGTTCATACGCGAGCTAGTTGTGATATCCGGTGACGTCCAGTGTATAGTGATAGATCAGTGGAATGGGGAAGAGCATGTGAAGCCATTGATTCATGATCGTGTTGCACAATCCATCGAGCTTACTAGTGTACATTTGTAGTGTTTATGATTAGCAACCCTTCAGTTTGATACAGTTTTGCGATTTCAACGGAAAACTGCGAAACAAAATCCTGTGAGCAGAAATTGCGAAACTATTGTGACAGTTGTTTGGTGCGTAAATGTTGACCAATGTTAGTGACACTGTTAGCCATCATCCTTTGTTGATAAGAGAAGTGCAATTGCCTGTGATCGTGCAATGGATAATCCCAGCTATGGATCGGCGCACATGTCATCGCCTGCATTAGTCGTGTTCTCCCAGGCAGCGAATGGATTAAGTGACGCACTACGCATTCAGAGACCATTCAATTCCCATGTATGTTAGGAAAAGCCTGTCTTGGTGTTCATTGGAAATTTTCTCATCTAAAGGTGCTGTATGGTGTAAATGGAGTTAAATATTCGAACGAAGTTCTGTTTATATTCATCGCAATCTTCAAACGTGGTTGGGAATTACTAGGGAATTGGAGTCGTAATGAATCATCATTTACTTTAGTTCGGATATCTTAGCAGTGATTATATAGGGAAGAAAAATCAACTATTTGAACATTTAATACGATACGATCCAGCGTCCACAAATCATAGGCACATGCACGGCTACTTCGAGTTTTAGGGAATTAATATCGATTTAAGGCATTAAATTTGCATCACCATGTTTGCTGCGTGTATGTTATTATGTTTTCCAGTAGCAGATAATTGATCCCTGGAACATGCGAAGTGGCATCACAGCCATGGAGCCTCCTATATTGTAGTCAATAAAGGCGCGCTGCACCTTGTCGAGGACAGCGAATTTGATTCCCGGTCCTGTGAAGGACGTTTTCGTTATGGATTTTTTCTGTATTTCCGTGGACATAAAATCCAGTCATTTAATTTATTACTAAATAATTCGTCTACTGTACAGGCTGTACATAAACTACGTAGACACTTTTAGGGGGGAGGTTGGCAGGAGTATGTACGGTCTATACAAATTTTCAAAAAATTGAATGAACGATTGTCTACGCGAGAGGGGGGACTAGATCCTCTCAAAATCGGCCGTAGTTAATGAATTGGAACATAATAAATGTGTGTGATTATTCAGAACGATACTAAAAGACCATGATAAAATGTACGTGTCATTTTAAGAATAGTAGGCAGAGATAATGAACTTTTGAAAGTGCACGAATTTGTGAACTGAGTGTCGAGATTTCGAGCCTTTACGGTGTCAATGTGATTGCCACATAATATACTAACTGGTGCCATGCTTAAGGTTCAATTTACTTTGATGCATTTTCAAAAAAATCAAAAGCAGTTTTTTTCGACGCATTATTTCAGATTCCTAAAAGCTCGCGTCATTTTGTGTAGAATAGCAAAAGGAATCGAATAGTGCGAGCATTTTGCAATCTGAACTAATGCGTCAAAAAAAACTGCTCTTGAATTTTTCGAAAAAGCATCAAAGTAAATTGAACCTTAAGGTGAATTTAGATATGATCGAGATTTGCGGTGGTATGAAAGAAGCAACTAGTACTAGTTGTCTCTCTCATACCAACACAAATCCCGTTCCGCTCCGCTCCGCACAGGCACGCTCATGTCTAAATACACCGAAACCACTCCGATGGTTCAGGGGTTAGAATAAAAGTAAATTCAGTACCATGTACCGTAAAACGGGGTAACTTTGATAGTTTCTTGAAGTATATTCTAAATATTTTTAACAACAATGAATGTTTTCAAATTTTTATTTTTTAAAACAAGTACGGGGATCCTAGAGTTAATTCGTTGGTAACATGTTTACCAGGAATTATTGCATTTGAATTTTTTTTTATTGTCTTATGATCGAACGTCAGATTTTTGTTTTGGGGTTACTTTGATAATACTCGATGACAGTAGAAAACCACGCGAGATACGCAAACAATTTTGATCAAATCAAATAAGAAACTTTGAATGAGTATATTGAATGAGCGGCCTTGAATGTGACATTATGGCAAGCCAGAGATATGAAGCTTTCGATGGAGGACGCATGATAGTTTCTGTTGAGGCCTCAAGGTATAAAATTTTATTTTCCTACTGCTCTCTAGCATTACGCGATCGGTCGGCCGACATCAGAAAAATAAATTTAAAAAATTTATACTACGTTGTTATAAAAAGGGTCTGAGATTATTAGTAAAGATATTTATATTTTAACAAAATGTTGTTTAAAATACAAACAAATCTTGCTTATCTTTACATATTGCGCATTTCGCACAAAAGGAGATTTCGATGCAAACGTCTATGTACAACACAAAAGGGAGAATAAGTTGTGAAAATAAACAGCGAAATTGTAATATTTTACGAATTCACATAGGGTAAAGAACTACTTTTGCATAATTGTCTATTTCCGTCATATTGAGCAGCAACATAAAGAAAATAATTTATTTCATCTTGAACGAGTCAAATTGCATACGTTTGGTACGATTGTTAAGTTCAATTACTACAAAACAAAGGGTATAATAACTCATAATATCAATATTTAAATCGATTCGTCTCAAAAACAAATGTAGCGCTCTTAGTAAATCCAATTCGCATGCCTTCATCCTTATGACGAATTGAATCCAAAAAAATATCAATGTGTTTGGACGGAATTGAAACTCGTATGACGCAATTGGAATCAAGAAGCAGCGTTAGATTTTTAACAATCTCTCAACAATTTGTGACTCTTTATCGAATCTAACGGCTAAGGCCTTGTTGTCCTCTGTTGTCCGAAGAAGTCGTCTCCACTCTACTCGATCCATGGCCACACTTCGCCAGCCTCGTAGTCTGCGAAGGGTCCGCAGGTCGCCTATTACTTGGTCGATCCACCTTGCCCGCTGCACGCCTCTTCTTCTTGTTTTTGTTGGGTCGCTTTCGAGAACCAGTTTCACTGAGTCGTCGTGCGGCATTCTTACGACGTGCCCAGCCCACCGTAGTTGCCCAATTTTTGTAATATATACGATGGATGGTTCTCTCAGCAGCTGGTGCAGTTCGTGGTTCATTCGCCTCCTCCACGTTCCGTCGTCCATCTGCACTCCACCGTAGATGGTACGCAACACCTTCCGTTCGAAAACACCAAGGGCGCGTTGGCCTTCCACGTGCATAGTCCAGGTCTCGTGGCCGTAGAGGACTACCGGTCTAATCAGCGTCTTGTAAATAGTCAGCTTCGTGCGACGGCGAATTTTATAATGCGTCCATAATGCGTCTTTGAATTTCTCTGCTGGTATCATTTTCGGCGGTCACCAGTGAGCCCAAATACACGAACTCATCGACCGCCTCTATTTCGTAACCGTAAACTCGAGGTGGGAGGCTAACATTGTCTTCCCTAGAACCTCTTCCTTTCATGTATTTTGTCTTTGATGCGTTGATGGCAAGTCCAATCCATCTAGGTTCAACCTTCAGTCTGATGTACGTTTCCGCCATCGTCTCAAAGTTCCGTGCCATGATCTCTATCCCAGATCTTCTGATCACACCTGCTAACGCGATGTTGAATAGCAGACATGAAATAAGTCCATCGCCTTGCCGTAACCCCCTTCGAGATTCAAAGGGACTCCAGAGTGTCCTCGATACTCAAACAATGCATATCACTCGATCCATCGTCGCCTTAACCAATTGCGTCAGTTTATCCAGATATCATATCTAACGGTACGTATGCAATGGTAAATAAATTCGGAAGTAGTCTTTAAAGGCACGATTCAATGTTTTGTTCAAACCCGTTCGATAAAGAGAGGTAAAGTGCGGGTTATGCTTAGTATGTGGAAATTAGATCTTAATCCTACATGCTATTACACCGAGGTGATATAGATAGATTAACTTGTAATGTGTATTTCCATCGTTTTGCTACTATTACCCTGCCGAAAAATTAAGCAGTTATTTGTTTTTATTTTGCCTAAAAAATATAGATGTTCCTTGTTGAAACACCTAAATTAAATTTTTCTGTTGTGATGTAGCTTTTTTTAATATTCCAATTGATCTCACTTTGTATGGATTAAAATGACGAAAATCAATCAAAAACTCTTTTATTTTATAAAAATGTGCAAAGCTATTCTTTTTTCGGTGATGATAAAATATTTTGAGTCTGGTATTTCCTATTCTATCATTGATCTGTTATTACATTAATATTTTTCTAAATCAAATTGACAAAACAACTCGTGTGTCATTTGGGAAGCGTAATGTGTTAAGGGAAAATTGTTAATTGCGTTTTTTTTATTCATTTCTGCTATGCGGCATTATGAAACCGTGTGATTTTCGGATCAATGAACCGCTTCAATTTAAAATTATGTTTACTGCCAATCGAACTTTGGAAAGCAATAACATTTTTTTATCTAGAACATCGAGACAAGTTTAGACACAAAAACGTAATATTGATGGTTTATATGTTTTAGGGTCTCCCTTAGTTCAGTCGGTAAAGGCGCCGCTACAAAGCAAAACCATGCTGGAGGTGGCTTGGTTCGCTTTCCAGTCCGGTCTATGAATTTTTCGGGTTGGAAAATAAAGTATGGTTCTACTTGTCACACAATTATACTAATGCACAATGGTACAGGCATCGAAAACTCTCAATTAATTGCTGTGAAAGTGCATCTAGAACACTAAGTTGAGAGCACCCAATAAGCTATCATGCTATAAGCAATAAGTTTGAAATGCGTAGAAGAGCAAGAAGAATTTTTATGTGGCTGGTCATGTGGTCACAAAATAACAGTAGAACTCTAAAATAAAAGCATAATTTGACAAATCATGTGATTTCGGTTAAGTTGTTGTATTTCTTGGTAAATGATTGTTTAAATGAAGAAAATTTTATCATTACTATGCTATTTGTGAGTTCAAATATTGAGCATGATATCATGAGCATGAGCATTGTTCACCATACTATTCGTAGTTGCTACTCCGTGATTGACCAGATCCAGCGAAGTTTTCACTATGAATGGGGCTTGGGTCCATTCTCCATGTGTAACTACCGGTGAAACAGTACCTTCAAGATCGATAACGGCACTGGCCACGTCCTAACGGTCATCAAGGAAGGAAAGGATTGTTAATTTGACATTCGTTGTTACTAGAGTACTCTGCATCTCAACGGTTGTCACGGAAAGGACATTTTTGTTAGTGGAAAGGGTGAATCAGATCTGGAAAAATGCTGCGGTAAGCAAATGATGCGACCCTATCAACTCAGTAATGTAAAGGGATTGGGTTCTAACCCACGATCTTCTCAGTAAGCGAAAACGGTCGCTCTAAGGCCACTCTGCTCCTTACATGACAACAAGCTATGACCGACGATCGTTGAAGCCCGAGTAGAAGAAGCTATTCAAATAAAATTACGTCCCCGAAACCAATAAACAATGT